AGCCGTGTATGTATTTGTGTCGCTGGTTGTTTTTGAAGTTTTCTTGTTTGTTTCGAGATTAAATTGGATTAGTATCTGTGTTTTGGTGGTGATTGGGATCTTTGTGGAAACTTGGGATCTTATATTGTCGATTTTGTTAGGGTTTTTGGTGATTCAGTATTGAATTTAGCTAGCTTGTCTTTTGTTTCCTGTGCTGTTGTATATTTTGTTTTTGATTATTTGAAAATGTTTTTATTACCTCTGGTCTTAGCGTGAGATCCACACATTAGAATTTGGATTGAAAAAGTCACCCTTTTGATATGGATTGAACTTTTTTTTTCCAATTACAAAACTTGGTTCAAAGTCTGATAGGTTTACAAGGAAACTTGGAACATTTCCATTTTAGCACGGTGAAAATAAATGTGAGAGTGGTAATTAACTTTGAATTATTTAGTGAAAGAAATTTTATTTTCTATTTATTTTTGAAAACACACTATATTAGGAAAATATTTTCATTTAAAATAAGTTTTTTTTTCCCAATATGTGGAGATAGAATCACTGTTTTACAAGCAAAGCATTATTTTTTTCTAAAATTCTGCAAATTCTCGATTGCATTTTGGACCCCCTACCAAAAGCCATCTAAAATGTTTCCCTTTTTTCGATATTCCATACATTATCATGGATAATTAACTTTGACCCACAATTCTCTCTAGCTCTTAGTTACTGCAATTATATACATCATCACACATTAATTGAATTCATTTATAATTTTTCCTTTGGAATATTAAATGCTAACCATAATTAACTATTGTTGAGAATTAGCTTGGATTAACTATTTGTTAATTAAAATGGCAATTTTGCTTAAACTTGGATTCTCATATGTTGCTAAGGCATATTCTTTCGACCATCCTACGTAAGTAAGTACATTCTTGAATATAATACTTCTTTTCCTTGAATTGCTGATGTATCGAGATTTATAATCAGTTTGATTTTTTGTTAATATCTTTTTGTATGCATGCGAAATGTGTTACTTCCAAAAGTAGAATGTTGCAAATATTTGCTTTAAGCATACTTCATTACTATGTGTTTAGAAACAAAAAAATTATGAAGTTAATGATTTCACTTGCTTCGAAGCAGCAGTGGGTGAAAGAGAGATGGAGGGGGAGGTTTTTTTAATTTTACTGTCTAATTTGGAAGTAATGCTTTTTTGTTTTTTCCTTGATTCAAAACTTTCCCTTTTCTGGATTTCTTGAATATAATACATCTTTTCCTTGAATTGCTGATGTATCGAGATTTATAATCAGTTTCTGATTGATTTTTTGTTAATATCTTTTTGTATGCATGCGAAATGTGTTACTTCCAAAAGTAGAATCTTGCAAGTATTTGCTTTGAGCATACTTCATTACTATGTGTTTAGAAAGAAAAAAAATATGAAGTTAATGATTCACTTGCTTCGAAGCAGCAGTGGGTGAAAGAGAGATGGAGGGGAAGGGTTTTTTAATTTACTGTCTAGTTTGAAAGTAATGCTTTTTTGTTTTTTCCTTGACTCAAAACTTTCCCTTTTCTGGATTCAGTGGCGGGTACCTCTGCTTCTCGTCCTCGTACATTTAAGAAGGTAATTTTTTCCTTCAATTTTGCCCCTACTATATTTCCATGGATGTGCTATTGTTTCAGAAGCTTATGGTATTTTTTTTTTTTGTGGTATAAGTTCCTGAATGGTGAAAGTGAGCGATTCAATAATTTTGTGCAATATGGTGATGTGAAAATTTATGGCTGGTTCTAATGGTTAGACAAGTGAAGATTTGCATTGGAAATTGGACCCCTGTGATCCCATAGCTGTTCTGCACCTTTTGAAACTTAAGAAGTAAATATCTATGTGTGTTTGATTGATATTGGTGAGGGAGTGGGTCTCATGCTGGCTGATAGCACCAATAGAAAAGGGCATTTGAAAATTACTTTACTATATTAATGTTTCTTTCCTTTCTTTTTCCCTATTTTTTCAACTGGTGGACACAGCCAGTTATATTGAATCTTAGACGCTTCAAGTATACTTCCAATTTCCACAAGATTGCTTTTGCTTTTCCTTTCAGTTATGTTTTATCTATTTTGCTGTATATTAACAGGTAGAAGCTGAGCTGGAAGAAGAGGAGAGATCTGAAGAAGAATCAGAAGAGGAGTCTGAGGATGAAGCTGGAGCTGGAGCTGAAGTCAGTAAAATATGGCTCATTTCTGCTTGTGAAATTTTCATTTCATAGTCAATTTAGAGGGTTTTTGAGTAGTTTGTTCTGAGGTGTCTTAATACACTTTTTTCTTCCAATAAAATGTCTAGGCTAATAAACATTTGTTCTCTTTTTTGCCATTGCTGAATACAGAAGCAGAAAGGCACTCAGGGTATTATTCAGGTTGACAATCCAAATTTAACAAAACCAAAGAACGTGAAAGCGCGAGATATCGATGTAATATACTCAAATAATTTTATGTGTTCTATTAGTAGTTTGTAGCATTATTCATTTACTGAATGTTCCTTTTGTTTGACAGATGGAGAAAACAACTGAGCTGTCTAGGCGTGAAAGGTTTGTGAATATGTTTTTCTTAGCCTTGAATGTGAATGGAAATGATTGAAAAATGTTCTTTCTTCCCTTTCCTTTTTCCTTCCCTCTTCATCTTCTCACCATGTAACATGTGTAATAAGATCCAAAGAAGAAAACTGGAAAGGTTCAATTCAATCTTGAATGCTTGCCTGCACAAGTTTATATTATTTCCTGCTGCTTGTTAATGGTATCATCCAATTTTCTTAATGTCAAGGTTTTTGAATTTTTTGGGGACGCTACATTCCCCCAGTGGGTTTGGTTGTGCAGTGAGCTTTATTATATTCTTTCCAGATTGACCCCCCAATGACCATCCACTGTAGAAGCACCATGTAGGTTTTGATAGAGCTGGCCAACTATTATGTGGTTAGATTTGCCTGATATTGTTTGTTAGTAACCAGAGATGACTTGGATATTTTGTTTACAAGTTCTTGAGGACTATTGACAGGAAAGATGGATGCATATTTTATGATATAACTTGCATGAACCTTGAAACATGGCCATTATAAAGGTTTTTAAAGAAACCTGTTAATCCTTTGAAACGTAAATGTGTCTTTTGATGGAAAAGATTTGTGTGAATTCAACTCTAATGTGTCACAGCTCAAAGTTCTTTGGTTAACCAGTTTGAATGAGTTGGTCTCCTTGAGTGTAATGCATTCCTTGATGCTCTCTTTTTTCAGTCAAATGCTCTGTATCCTTAGTATTCATTACTTTATCTTTGTTCTGTCGTCGTTTTGCAGAGAGGAGATTGAAAGACAGCAAGCTCACGAAAGGTACATGAGGCTGCAAGAACAAGGAAAGACAGAACAAGCGAGGAAAGATTTAGGTAACATATTTGAATATGCTGAGAGTTTGTTCCTTAGCCTTAATCAAGCAGTTATACACCCCCACCCTCGAAATAAAAAGGAAAATAAATGAGAAGTATTCCCATCTTTCTAAAGGAGAAATGCGATATTGATTTTGCCATTTATTGTTTGATGTTTATAACCTTTCAGAGCGTTTGGCCCTTATACGACAACAGAGAGCAGAAGCTGCTAAAAAGCGAGAAGAGGAGAAAACTGGTAACTACAAGAGTTCTATTTTCAAATTTTGAATTTTCAATGGAATTTTATTTTTTGCATTTTTTCCTCCCTGCAGCCAAAGAGCAGAAGAAGTTGGAAGCTCGCAAGTAATTTTGGCATGCTCCAAGAATTGACGTTAAGCAAGATTTAGTTAGTTGGATACTAGTCCAAGGACACTATTACATCTCTGTTGGGAATTGTTACAACAGATGTTCACCCCATCGTCATTGCTTGTTTGTCCATGTCATACATCGAAGATATAATTATAAATAAAATGATATGGTTCAATGCGATATTATAAGTGGACCTTTTTCTATTCTATGAAAATGGTCTCATCCTTTGATATCATTAAGGAGAGGGTTCACTATTTGGAGGTTAACAATGACCCATGTTCTAAAAGGCGTGAAAATGAACTGTCTAGGTGAGACGTGGGTCAAAAACACGTCGAATTCGAGAAATGTGCGAAACATGCGTTTTCCATCTCAAGTCTATGCATGCCTAGGCGCGTATTATTTCGCCTAATTTTTTTTTTTTTAAAATCTATTTTTTTATTATAAATTAAAAAATTTATTTTTTTATATAAAAATATATTTAATGCCTTAAAAATACGAAACGCATTATGACGCTTATTCTTCGCATTGACACGCCTAAACTTGTGATTCTTGATTCGCGGCCTCGACGCATCGCAACGCATTACGCATTTTAGNTGAGTTTTTTTCTAAAATGCGCCGTCTAGACGAGCCTAATCCCGCCTAGGTGGAGCATTATGCCACCTATTTTTTATTTTTTTATTTGGTAAAAAATCTATTTTTTATATAAAAATATATTTAATGCCTTAAAAATACAAAATGTATTATGGCGTTTATTTTTCTCATTGATACATTTAAACTTGTGATTCTTGATTCACGATCTCGACATATTGCAACATATTATGCATTTTAGAACGTTGACAGACACTTGAAAAGTTGCCATTTCAACTTTCTTTGGAAGAATTTGCTAAAAAAAAAAATGTAAAATGTGAAAAAATCTTAGATGATTAATTTTTGTGCTCTGAGGTAATTATTGATTTCTTTGTGCCATATTTCAATAATCTTGGCCTTCGAGCTCATAGGTTAAGCCGTATTAAGCCATTGGTTAACAGTAATGGATAAAACTTCAGTCCAAAGGTTCTCAATTTTTGTTCATTTTTATACTTGCGATTTCAACTATTTTTTTGGTTATATTTTTGTCTTCAATCTTCTATTACTAACACGTCTTGTAATTACGACGTTTTGGTAAAAAAAAAAAAAAAAATTGCGAGAAGGGCACAGAAAATTATTTACCTTTCATATTTCTAGTTAAACAATCATAATACAAAATTTTGATAATGCTTATTTTCTTTTCAAAGCACGATAAAAAAAATTGTGATCGGAAATAAAACATGTTAATTACTTAAAATTTAAAGAAAAAAATATGACGAAAAAAGTTGAGAATGTAAGAAAATCGAAACTTTTATTACAAAATAAATATAATACAATCGACAAAATTTTAAAAAAAAATATGACGTGAATATAATTATTTATTTGTACTGCCTCGATTTATTTTTCTTAAAAATTTTGACTTCAATTGTTTTATATACTTGAAATCCAATAAAAATTTCACTATAAAATATAAATGTAAGCAAATGAATCCAATAAATGTTTAGATGAGTGTTGTCCTCTCTGTTTCTAGATCATTTTGTTCGGTGCAAGTAGCGAACTCATTCGATGGCCGATAAGCACATTCCTGACGTTAAGCCTACTCAAAACCACACTCCTCCGACGGATCCACCCAAAATCTCGACTGGGTACTCCGGTGGAACCCACAATCCGA